CCCACCTCAGGAAATGGCCTTTCCACCCCGATACAGCCAAGCCTGGGAGCCTCCCTCAGCGCCCCCTTCCCGCCTGCCCATCACCTGGGCTGTCCCCCAAATAGCCCTGTTGTCACGCTGTGGCTCCATCTGGCCTCTCCGTCGCCCACCTGGGCCCCTGGATGACTGCCCCCTCCCCCTCCCCCCCAATCTGTCTTCAATGTCACGGCCAAAGGCATCCAAATTCCTGATGAGCATCGTGCCCTCCTCTGCAGAAGCCTGGAGCCCCACTGCCTGAAGACCCACTGCCCATGGTCAAATCCTGGCTCCTGGGTGGAACCTTTGCGACCCCAGGGCCCGTCTCTGCTCCCCTGCGCCCTGCCCCCTCATCCGCCAAGGTGCTCCCACCTGCCATCTGAGGGCGTGGCTTTGACATTTTCTCTCCCGATTATGTAGTCATTTGGAGACCAGAGCCGGCCCTTTGGTGAAGCTGTGACAGGAGGCAGATCTGACTGCATTCCTCTTCCTTAATCTTAAGAACTGAAACCACATACCACCCCCCCACCCCCACCACGGTTCAGATACTGAGGACGCCCGCCCCCACGCCACAGCCTGCAGTCTCCATTGGCAGGACACCCTCCTCGTCCGCAGCCTGTTCGAAGCCTTGGGCTCATGGGGACCCATCAACTCTCCAAGGAGAAGCATCCACGACAGTTAGGTCCCCGACCCCTCCCCTGCTGGGGACCCCTGCAGCCTGGGCGTTACCAGTCCCCAACAAGCTTCCCACTTTTGAAAGACCCACCTTCAACCAAACTTCCTGCTCTCAGTAGCCCCGCCTCGGCCCCCACCTGTGTGGGCACCCCTCCTTCTCCTGTGCATGGCCCATTTCTCTTTCAGGTCTCAGCCGGGCAGCCCCCTCCCCACAAGTACGTTCCGGGACCCAAGCGTCCTCTTTGTGGCCCCAATCGTGTTGATGTAAAGAAGGCAATGTTGATAGCTGGTGTCTGAGTTCGTCCAGGGGGAGAAAGACCCCTGGGAGCCTCTGGCTGAAGGCCTGGACCCTGAGGGTCCCTGGAGCTGGAATAGGGCCTGGAGGCACAGGGAAAGCACCGAGGTCCCCTCCTCCTAGGGGATGGTGACGACAGGGGGTGGGGGTGGGGGGACAGGAGGGGCCGGAGTCAGGTCAGAGCAGGTTGACAGTGGCCAAAGGCCAGGTCTGGATGGGCCGAGTAATTCTGAGAAGCAGGAGCTCTGTCATCCGTGCTGCCCCATCCCAGCTCCTGCAAACCCCACGGGTGGAGTAGGGGCAGCTCAGAGGGCCTCCCAAAGTCACTGCTCCAAAGGGCCGGAAGTCCCAGGGCATCTCAGGCAGCCCAGGTCACAGCAGGACAGACCCCCGTCCACCTCGTCCCACCCAGCCCTTCCTCAGGGAATGGGGTCCTGACTCACCGATTTAGAGGAGAGCGGAGGCGGCCCCGGATCCCACTCCCCAGCAGGAAGCAGCCCCCAGGACTCTGCTATCATCTGGGCCAGGAAGTGCCCCCAGCCCCGCAAGTATTAGGCAAAGCTCCCTGAGAATTCTCCCTCCCAGCATGCTCAGTCCACATCACCTCCTGGGCCCTTTCCAGCTCCGGTCACTAAGCTGAGCCCTCTAATTTACAAAGAGGGAGCTCCATGAGGTCAAGCCCCCGGTGAGCGCAGCGCTGGCACAGAGCACCCTGGAGAAGCTGAGTGAGCATCCACCTGGCCCCAGACTGCACCCTGCACCCTCTGTGGGCTAACTCGTGCCTCGCAACACCCGGGCGCAGGTGCACTAACATCCCCACCTTGTCCGCGAGGAACGAGAGACTGACGTACCAACGGACAAGGACAGGCCATATGCAACAGCAGAATTCCGACCCACACAGGAAGTCCAGGAAGGCGAGTGACAACCTCTGGAGCGATCAGCCCAGAGGTTCGAGGCACAGCCAAGACCACCAGATTCTCTTTTTTTGCCCCCAACTCAGGACCGCCCAGAGAAAGCCACAAACGCCCCCCTCAAACCAATCACATGGGATGCCCACTCCTGGTTGGCCACCTCCAACTCCCGCAGGCCCACAGCCTCCAATCAGAACACACCTGAAACCTTCCCTTTTCTTTCAGCTTTATTGAGACAGAATTCACATACCATAAAATTTACTCATTTAAAGTGTACAGTTCAGTGTTTTGGTTTTTTTTTAAGTCATTGGAAAAATCGAGAAACTGTTTTCTCCTTTTTCTTCTTTCTTTCTTTTTTTGGCGAGGAAGATTGGCCCTGAGCTAATATCTGTTGCCAATCTTCCCCTTTTTGCTTGAGGAAGATTGTCGCTGAGCTAACATCTGTGGCAATCTTCCTCCATTTTGTATGTGGGACGCTGCCACAGCATGGCCTGATGAGTGGTACCTAGGTCCATGCCTGGAATCTGAACTGGCAAACCCTGTGCTGCCGAAGCAGAGCGCACAAACTTAACCTCTACACCACTGGGCCGGCCCCTGTTCAGTGGTTTTTAGCATATTCACAGAGTTGTGCAATCATCGCCACTACCTAATTTAACATTTCAACACCCCAAAAAGAGACCCTGTATATACCCATTAGCAGTCGCTCCCCACACCCACCCCCCAGCCCCAGGCAACCACGAATCTACTTTTTGTCTGTGGATTTGCCTGTTCTGGACATTGCACACAATGGAATCCTACAGGACCTGTCCTTTTGTGTCCGGCTTCCTTCACCCAGCACAACGTCCTCAAGGTTCATCCACACTGGAGCAGGTGTCAGCATGTCACTCCTTTTTACGGCTGAATGATACTCCATGGTGTGGCTATACCACAGCTGGCTTAGCTGTCATCTGATGATGGACACTTGGGTTGTTTCTGCCCTTTAGCCGTTGTGAACAATGACACTCGTGTACACACTTCTGTATAGACATCTATTTTCATTTCTCTTGGGAATATACTTAAGAGGACTTATTGGGTCATGTGGCAACTTTATGTTTAGCATTTTGACTTTTCCAAAACGGCCGCCCCATTTTGCATTCCCACCAGCAATGAATGAGGGCTCCGATTCCTCCACGTCCTAGTCAACACTTGTTACAGCCTGTCCTTCCATGATAGCCATCCTAGTGGGTGGGAGGTGCTATCTCCTTGTGGTTTTGATTGGCACGTCCCTGACGGTTAGCGAGGCTGAGCACCTCTCCATGTGCTTTTTGACCATCTGTTTGTCTTCTTTGAAAATCTTTATCCAGATCTTTCGTCCACTGTTTAAGTTGGGTTGTTTGCTTTCCGGTTGTTGTGAAGAACTCCCTACATGTTACGGACACTAGTCTCTTATCAGAGACACGATTTGCAAAGATTTCCTCCCATTTCATGGGTTGTCTTTCCACTTTCTTTTCTTTTTTCCAGATTTTTTTTTTTTTAAAGATTGGCACCTGAGCTAACATCTGTTGCCAATCTTTTTCTTCTCTTTCTCCTTCTTCTCTCCAAAGCCCCCCAGTACATAGTTATATATTCTAGCAGTAGGTCCTTCTAGTTCTGCTGTGTGGGACGCCACCTCAGCATGGCTTGATGAGCGGTGCTAGGTCCACACCCAGGATCCGAACTAGTGAAACCCTCGGCCACCAAAGCAGAGCACGGGAACTTAACCACTTGGCCGCAGGGCTGGCCCCTCCACTTTCTTGATGATATCCTTTGACACACAGAAGTTTAAAATTTTGACTAACTCCAACTTACCTACTTTTTTCTTACTTTGCGCTTTTGGTGTCATATATAAGAAACCACGGTCTAACACAAAGTCACAAAGATTTACACTCATGTCTTTCTCTAAGAGTTTTACAGTTTTAGCTCTTACATTGAGGTCTATCACCCATTTTGAGTTAACGCTGAGTTAATTTTTGTGTACAGCGTGAGGTAGGGGCCCGGCGTCATCCTTTTCCACGTGGATACCCAGTGGTCCCAGCACAATGTGTTAAAAAGACCGTTCTTTCCCACATTGAATGGTCTTGGCATGAAACCAATCAACCATGAATGCGAGGGTTTATTTCTGGAGTCTCAGTTCCATTGCAATGGTCTGTCTGCCTGTCCTCATGTCAGGACCACGCTGTATCGATCGCTGTAGCTTCGCAGTAAGTTTGAATTAGGAAGCGTGAGTCCAACAATTTTGTTCTTCTTTTTCCAAGTTGTTTTGGCTCTTCGAGATGCCTTTGCATTTCCATGTGGATTTGAGGACGAGCTTGTAAAAAGCCAGCTGGGATTCTGATAGGTATGGCATTGAAGCTGTGGGTCCATTTGGGGCATACTGACGTGGGCACAATATGAAGTCTTCTGCTCCGTGAACATCGGATATCCTTCCATTTATTAGATCTTCTTTAATTACTTGTGACGGTGTTTGGTAGTTTTCAGTGTACAAGTCTTAGATTTCTTTTGCTAAATTTATTTCTAGGGATTTTGTTCTGTTTGCTGCTATTACAAATGGGATTATGTTCTTAATTCCATTTTTGGATCGTTCATTGCTAGTGTATAGAAATAAGACTGAGTTTTGTATGTTGATCTTGGATCCTGCCAATTGCCGTACATGGTTATTAGTTGGAATAGTTTTTCTGCAGATTGATTTCTCAGGATTTTCTATACACAGCATCATGTCACCTGCAAATAGAGATGGTTTACGCCCTCCTGTCCAATCTAGGCGCCTTTCATTTCTTCTTCTTGCCGAATTGCCTTGGCCAGAACCTCCAGGACAATGTGGCATGCAAGCGGGTAGAGTGGACGTCCTCGTCTTGCTCCTGGTCTGAGGGAACTCCCATCCTTCACAATGGGTAGGGGTTAGCTAGGGGCTTTGTAACGCCCCTTATCAAATGGGGAAGTTCCACTCTGTTCCAAACGCTTCCCTCGTGACAGAGTGTTGGGTTTTGTCAACTGCTTTTCCTGCATCTATTGAGATGGTCACATGACTTCTGTCCTTTATTCTATTAATATAGTGTATGACATTGGTTGTTTTTCGGATGTTAAACTCTCCCTTTTTTTTTTTTTTTTTTTTAATATAAAGCTGTCCCTCTCCGGCTCTGTGAGTCTCTGCCAAACGCAGTGAGGGTGGTTGGGTCCCTTGCTATAGCAGCCTCTGCATAAACAGCCTCTGTCGGTTTCATCTGGGTGGTCCTCTCTTATTTCCACAGGAAATCAAGGCAGGGGGGTGGGGTTCAGTGATTCCCCCTGGACAGGACGACAGTGTGTGTGCCCCCCAAGAGAGTGGTGAGTCACCAGTCCTGGGGCTGTGCCTGGTGGACAAGCCTCTCAGTCAAAGAAGCTTAAAGGAGGCAGTGACCTCCTGCCTCAGGGCCAGGCCCTGCTCCAAGTGCTTGCAAAAATCCTTGCATTCCACCAACCCAAGAACGCAGGGAGCTGCTCTGCCACAGATGGGGAAACTGAGGAACCAGTCCGAAGCCACACAGAGGGGCAGACTCCAAGCCAAAGCCAGCTGGCCAGGAAAGGCCTGCTCTTCTCGCCCTGCTGCCTGCTACTTGCCCATCAAACCATCAGCCCCAACTGCCCTCAGGGCAAAGTGCAGGGAGGGGTCTCCCATCCCAGGCACAGCCCTGCCCCTCCTTCCCTCATTCTCCCTGCAGCCCATCTGGGTGCTCCTCCACGAGTGCTGGGGCAGCATCCAGCTGACAACAAGAGTCTTTCTCAGGACGCACCCCCGGGATGGCCCACCTGCCCCCCGATCACACTGGTACACGTCATCTCATCACTGCCAGTGACGTTTAGTGTTGTGTGTCAGCATGACTGGCCACAGGGTGCCCAGATAAACGTTATATCTGGGGGCGTCTGGGAAGGTGTTTCCAGATGAGATGAGCTTTGGAATCACTGGATGCAGGAGAGCAGACGGCCCTCCCGCGTGCGGTGGGCCTCGTCGTCCACCGAGGGTCTGGAGGAACAAAGGTGGAGGAAGCAGGAATTCACTCCTTTTCCCGCCTCACCCCGTGTGCTGGGACATCTCAGCTCATCTTCTCCGGCCCTCAGACTGGGAACACACCATCCACTCGCCTGGGCATCCAGCTTGTAGACGGCAGACCTTGGCAGTCCTCAGGCTCCATAACTACAGGAGCCAATGCCTCATAATAAAGCTCCTTCATCTCCTCCTGGTTCTGTTTCTCTGGAGAGCCCTGACCAATACGCTGCTGGTGGGTCCCCTGAGGTCCTCACAAGGTCAAGTTGATGGGCCACTGGACAGGGCACTTCAGAAGTGGTCCCCGGGGAGAGCCCCCAGGTGCCAGGCACCTGGAGGTGGTCCTTACACCCTCGCAGCCATTTCCTAGCGAGCCCCCAGGTGCCGCTGAGAGCTGCTTCCACCGTGGAGCCAAGGCAGCCTGTTGCCGTCTGTGTTCCCACTCAATCTGGAGCAGGCCTGAGGCTCCCTGGGGAAACCCTCTGGTCACTCCCACTGCAGTCAGAAGCGAACAAAGCCCCACTCTGGCTTTCACCTGCCCCCTCACCTCCACCTGCCCCCGACCTCAGCGTCCCGCCTCTTCACCATCCCTCTGCTTGCATCCCACTGCCTTCCTTTCTGTTCCTCCAACCTGCCCCTCTGTGCCTGGACTGCTCCTCCCCAGGCGCTGCAGGGCTGCCTCCCCCCTCCTAAGGGCCTGGATCCGTTGTCAACGCCTCCAAGCCCCCAGGCTGCAACAGCGCCCCCATCTGTGACTCTCTTTCAAGTATCCTGGGAGTTCCCTCCCTTCCCAGTATGGACATAAACATTGTGGGGTAACATCCGTCACCCTCCCCAGGGCCTAAGTTATTCAAGGGAAGGGCTCCTGGCTGCCCGGCTCCCGGCTGCCCGGCTCCCCACAGCCAGCGTCTGGAAGGGCACCTGGCACACAGCTAAATATCTGATGCCAGCCCGAGGCAGGGGACAGAACAAGCCAGCCGGGCAGGACTTGCTTTGGAGATGGGGGACCGAGGATGCAGCGTGCTTGGTTCTGCCCTTGCCCCTGGTCCCTGAGGGTGAGCTCAATATCTCCCTTTGCCCCCTTCCCAGAGGGCTCAGGGAAGACCCTTTTCTGAGGATACAGCTCACAACTTTGGCAGGAATGTCCTCATCACTGTGGATGGCGGGGAGCTGACAGGACACGAGGGCACCCAGGACATCCTGACCAGGTTCCTCACGCCGGAGGTCTGTTCTGCCTCCTTTGCAACCAAAATGCATCCTGGCAGACCCCCAAGTGAAGACTTACGTTATTTTGATTATAGTGTCACTTTCACGTGCACAAACATAACACTGGGTATCAACGTGTGCTTGTGGCTCTTACACAAGCATGAAGCCAAAACAAACTTTAAAATTAATCACCAAGCAAACTACGAAACTATTAGAGCAGAGATGAATGCGATCAGGCTTCTGTCTAAAGTGGCAGCCACTGGCCACCACGGCTACTCACATTTAAACTACAACGAACGATGACGACAAAAGACTCCCTTCCTCGCTCGCGGCAGTGGCTGTGTTTCAAGCGGTCAGTGGTCATTTGTGCTAGAGTTCCTGCAGACACAGAAGGTTTCCAGCTCTTCACCTGCACGACACCTGGCCACAGACTTGCTCCGTCACCTGTGGAGAGGACACCCCTCACTTGATATGTCACCCTTCCACTTCCTCATCGCCCAGGCAGTGAGGGCATTGGGGCCCGGCCCCCACACCTTCGGGAAGACAGCAGGACTGTGGGGCTGGCCTCCCTGTGCTACTGGCACCACCACGGTGTGCAAGAAATACACAATATTTGGAGGTTCTCATACAAGTGACTTGGGCCGTCTAGACACAACACGGGTCTAGGGGACACCCTCTCAGTGCCCCTTCCAAACACAGACTCCTCTAACGGCGGTCAGCAACTCCACCTGTCCACGGGACAAGGGCTTGGCTGTCTAGAATTTCGCTGTAGGATTTTCAGGCCAGACCCCCTGACTCTCGGGCCTCACCCAGGTTCCCGTCCCAGGGAGGGGTGTGAACAAAGCGCCGGCTGGCTACTTTGGCATCACCATCGCGAGAGCATCATCTCCTCCAGGGAGCCTTCTCGGATATCCAAGGAGCCTGAGGGAGGGGAGAAGGAGAGAGGAAGGGGCTCTTCCCTGGTCAGCCCCCGCAGGCTGCGCCCCGCACAGAGCGTCCGGATCCCGCGGTCCTGGCTGCACCAGGGTCCGCAAAGTGTGCGCGCGGCAAGGGGAGGGGTTGCGCGCAGCCTCCCCGGGGGCCGGACTGGGTACCGGGCCGCGGCCGCTCGGCGCTCGGGAGGCGGGAGGCGGGGCGGAG